CCGATCTAGTTTGAATATATATATATATATATAAAAATATATATAAAAATTTATTTAAAAAAAAATGCTAACTTTGGCCAGCGTTTGTGACTAAGTGGCTACTACAAAAGACTGGAAATAACCCATTTGGAATACCCTGGGTTATCTATATTTAAAAGTGTTATGCCATGATGGGGTTATTTCACATTCCTGGGCTACCATATGATCTCATAAGGCAACACAGACCCAGAAAACAAATCTGGCAAACTGAATTGGACAAGCCCTATGTTCACCCTGTAACTTTCCAAAACACCATAAAACCTGTACATGGTGGAGACTTCGCTGAACACAAATATGAGTGTTTAAAACAGTAAACTTTATCACAACGATAAAATCCCTAGTAAAAGTGCAGTTTTTGTGAGAAAAATAACACAAAGAAATGACTACCCAAAGGTTTGACAAAGACTGGTGGTAGAATTAGTGCATGGAAAGTGTTAAAACACCACCATTTGAAAAACCCTAGGGTGTCTAATTTTAAAAAATATATGGTTTGATGGGGGTAAAATACGTTGGCCGGCTTAAAAAATGTCCAAAATAGGACATGGGTGCATGATGACCAGCTGTGAAAATTCCAAGTTGGAAAACTGGAATGCGCACCCTCCAAATAACGTCTTTTAGCCCTCAGAGAACCAGACACACCTGTACATGGGTGGAATCACTGTACTCAGGAGATGTTGCTGAACACCTCCGCAATATCTTCTCATCCTCCGCAATATCGGTCTACAAGATATTGCTCTCTCCTGGTGCTCCTCCTACCTCTCCCAGCGCTCTTTCAGTGTTTCTTTCTCTGGCTCTGCTTCTTCTCCCCAACTCCTCTCTGTTGGTGTCCCCCAAGGTTCAGTCCTTGGTCCCCTACTGTTCTCCATCTATACTGCCTCCCTCTCATTAGCTCCTTTGGCTTCCAAATCTCTGACTGCCTCTCTGCTGTTTCTAACTGGATGGCTCCCCACTTCCTTAAACTAAACTTGACCAAAACTGAAATTCTGGTCTTTCCTCCCTCAAGTGTTGTTACTCCTGTGTCTGTCTCCCTCCAAGTCAACGGTGCTACCATCAGCTCCACCATGCAGGCTCGCTGCCTAGGTGTTCTCTTTGACTCCGACATCTCCTTCAAGCCTCATATTCAATGTATCGCCAAATCCTGTAATTTCCATCTCAAAAACATTGCGCGCATATGCCCCTACTTAACGCCAGATGCGACTAAGGTGTTGGTCCATTTCACTGTCCTTTCTCGCCTTGACTACTGTAATCCACTTCTCAGTGGTCTTACGTGTTCCCAACTAGCGCCGTTACAGTCCATAATGACTGCAGCGGTGAGGCTCATCTTCCTGTCCGCCCGCACCTCCCATTGCTCACCCTTCTGTCAGTCCCTATATTGGCTTCCTATAAAATATAGAGCTCAATTTAAAATTCTGTTTTTTGCTTTCAAATCTCTACATAATGCTGCTCCCACCTATCTATCCTCCCTTATACACAAGTATGTCCCGTCTAGGCCCTTACGATCTGCTGAAGACTTACGTCTATCTTCTGTCCGTACTCCCACCTCTGATGCTCGCCTTCAAGATTTCTCGAGGGCTGCACCGTTCCTGTGGAACTCGCTTCCTTCCTCCGTTAGATGCTCACCCAGTCTGCACTCCTTAAAAAAAAATTGTTAAAAACCCACTTCTTCATAAAAGCGTATCAATTAAACTGTTAATAGCTCCTGACTGATTCCTCTTCTGCAACTATCCTAATACTAATACTAATACTAATACTATCCTTACCTTTTTGTGTCATTTTACCCCACTCACTCTAGCATGTAAGCTCATTGAGCAGGGCCCTCAACCCCTCTGTTCCTGTTTGTCCAACTTGTCTGGTTACAACTACATGTCTGTTCATCCAGCCATTGTAAAGCGCTGCGGAATTTGACGGCGCTCTATAATTATCATCATAATAATAACACATATTGTGATGTTCTTTGGCAGTAATACATAACAGGAGCTGAGAATCCATGCCTAAAGTACAATGTGTGTGAAAAATAACACAAAAAAATTACTACCCAAAATGTTGACGAAGACTGGTGGTAGAATTAGTGCATGCAAAGTGTTAAAATACCACTATTTGAAATACCCTGGGGTGTCTACTTTTCAAAAATATATGGTTTGATGGGGGTAAATTACATTGGCCGGCTTCAAAAATGTCCCAAGTTCAATTGTACATAGTTTGTTCCACCCTACCCCTCTTTAACTGACCCATTTGGGTCTACACCCTGCAGTCAAGGTACCAGGTGATCAATGCACGTAGTTTTCCCTATTTGAATCAGTGTCCTACCCCCACCTGCCTCTCAAGATCAAAATAGAGGCAACATGCCATTAAAAATTCTCTCCCTCAATACCAAAGGGCTGAATTCACCTAACAAGCGTAGACTAGCTCTACGAGAAGCTAAGAGACAGGGTGCACATGTGGCATTCTTCCAAGAAACCCATTTTAAATGGGGGTCCAAACACAGATTTAATTCCCCTTGGTTCCCGGTAGATTACCATACATGCTATCATACAAAAAAAAGAGGAGTGTCAACATTAATAAGCAAAACTGTTGCCTTTGAATTAATACGTAAAATTGGAGACAAAAAAGGCAGATACCTTATCATACAATGTCACATTAACAACCAACCGTATACATTAATGAACGTCTATAGCCCTAATGAAAATCAAAATGTGTTTATTGCTAATGTCTTCTCTCTCTTGTCAATGTACAGTTTTGGGGAGGTAATCATTGGAGGCGATACTAATTTTCTCTTAGACGTAGATATGGACTCATCCGCTTCTGGAATGGTAAATACAACAACTTCAAAAAAACGACATACACAGACAGCCAACATTCGCCAAACATTAATGGCACACAACTATGTAGACCCATGGAGGATCTTGCACCCGACGGAAATCGACTACACCTGCTATACAGCAGCACACAACAGTTACTCCAGGATAGATAGATTTCTAATCAAAACCACATCCCTAGAGAAAGTATCACACACAGGCATTGGCGTTATCACATGGTCTGACCATGCCCCTATCACACTGACATTAACAATTCCCCTCAACTGGTCGCACCGCCTTGAGACTGAATGAGTCCCTACTCAATGATCCGGTAGTAGTCTCCCAAACCAAAACAGACCTCCAACACTATTTTGCAGAAAACATACAAACTAACACAACACCAGATTTCATTTGGTTAGCACATAAAGCGGTGATAAGAGGCAGCTTCATAAAACACGCGAGCCAGGCCAAGAAAACACGCCAGGCACAATATCTACAAATAATTACAGACATAACATCGCTGACACACAGAAATAAACATACGCCGTCGCCTAACATACAAGCTGCCCTACTCCAGGCACACTCCGAACTACGAGACTTCGAACTAGCCAAAACCACATACCTACTGCAAAAAGCCAAACACAAATTCTTTGCATATGGCAATAGAGCAGGAGCAAAATTGGCTTTGCAACTTAAACAAAGATCAGCCGCCTCCAGGATTGCCTTCCTAAACAATTGCAAAGGTCGGAAAATCATAGACCCAAAAAAGATCGTAAATGAGTTCTCAGACTATTATCACAAACTGTATAATTTGGGAAAAGGAGGGGAGGTGAAGGTCCCTATACACGAGGATATTAATAGATATTTAACAGATGTCCAACTACCTTCTCTATCAGCAGATGAAGTTAAACAACTTCAGCAACCACTAACCCCTGAAGAGATAACCAAAGCTATAGCAGACCTCCCCCCAAACAAATCACCGGGACCCGATGGCCTACCCAATCGATACTACAAAGAGTTCTCCAGACTACTAACAACACATCTAACGAATCTCTTCCAATATAGCATGGAAAAGGGAGCGTTACCAGCAGAGATGCTCTTAGTCCACATTTCCACCTTGCCCAAACCTGGTAAGCCCCCTACTGTATGTAACATTTTCAGGCCCATATCCCTCCTAAATAGCGACGCCAAATTATACGCAAAAATAATTAGCAACCGACTTACACCCATATTAAACTGCTTAGTGCACAACGACCAATCCGGGTTTGTAAGAGGGCGTCAAGGCTCAGATAATACCTGAAAAATCCTTGGCGTATTGGCCACAATGGAACGCAACTCGGTTGGAGGTCTCCTCCTTGCATTAGATGTGGAGAAGGCCTTTGACCGACTAAACTGGACATACATGCAGGGGGTGCTCCTGAAATATGGACTACCCCCTGAGATTATTAGAGGTATCCTATCCCTAGAACCTCTAGCCCAAAATATACGCTCCCACCCTGACATAGAGGGCATAAAAGTCCTAGCACATGAATACAAATTGCCACTATTCGCCGATGATATCCTAGTGACGCTAGGAAACCCTCAAACATCGGTGCCACACCTTATAGAGACCCTAATAGAGTTTGGCGATATATCACACTACCGCCTAAACCAAGACAAGACCCAAGCTCTACCTGTTAGACTCCCCCTGACCACTAAAGCCTCCCTAAAAGAAAAATTCCAGTTCGATTGGAGAACATCCTCCCTGACATACTTGGGGGTAAAAATTGCTCCCTCAATAGCCGAGATAACGAAACTCAATCACTGCACCCTCCCACAACAATGTACAAAATAAGTTCATAAATGGACACAGACAAACATCTCATGGCTAGGAAAAATCAACACATATAAAATGGTGATCATGCCAAAAATACTTTATGTTTTCCGGATGCTTCCCATTCTGATCCCGCAAACACTCATCAAATCCCTCCAAACTATATGCAATAGGTATAGCTGGGGAAGTAAGAGACCGCGCATACCACATACTATATTACAGAAACACTCATCACAAGGAGGCGTGGGACTATCTAACATAGGCCTATATCACAAAGCCTCTGCCTTGACAACGGAAATATTACTGCGTAGCCCAGTAGGGAATATCCAATGGGATGACATGGAAAAAGCCCAATTCCAAGAAAACACTGCACTAGACTACATGTGGACCCCAAGAAAACTTAGGCCACCCAGAGCCGACCTACTCCCTACTACAAAATTTACCCTCCAAGTTTGGACAACCTTCTTAGAGACCCTAGGAACCAAGCATACTTTCCACCCTAAGGCACCATTGACAGCCTTAAGGGCAATCTCGCCAGACATTCACATACAAAAATGGCTGCACGCAGGAATCACACATATACACCACATATTACAGCCCCAAGGTGTAATGAAATTCCCCGACATACAAAAGAAATGGGACCTACCCAACGACACCATATTCACTTATCTTCAACTTAAGGGACTTATCACCACACATGTGCACCAACAACACCCCAACCCAAACCAAACATCTCTCCCAGCAGAAGCGATAATAGAGCGATGTAGGAAAACACCAATGAAGTCAAAAGCCATCTCCTTCTGCTATAAAGCATGGGAGGACACTCTACCCCCGACTACACCTAACTGCAAAACATTGTGGGAGGCAGATGGCTCTATTCAACTCACGGATGGGGAATGGGTACATGCACTCAATGACCTATCCAAATGGTCACAATGCTATACACACATTGAAGCGCATAGGAAACTGTTGTATAGGTGGTACCTGACCCCAAGTAGGCTCCAGAAAATATACCCAAACACATCTTCGAAATGCTGGAGGTGCACGGCTGCAGAGGGTACACTCATACATATATGGTGGAAATGCCCTAACATACAACCTCTCTGGACAGAGGTACATCGCACACTTCATACCCTCTGCGTGCCCAGCATTCCGAAAACACACAAACAACTAAGTGCACTCACCATCCTAGCAGCCCGCAACCTATTGGCCCTGCATTGGAAATCCACACTGTGCCCAACAGAAGCCCAGTTAAGAGACAAGATACAACAATTTTACATTTTCGAACACATGGCCATAAATGATGACAAAACAGCGCAAACATTCCACACTACCTGGGCCCCATGGGTCAAACTGTATGCAACCAAACACTAATAGCCCGAAGGTGCAACAAGCATAACCACGATTACCCCACATCGACCCTATGACTATACCAAAAGGTGCATTTTAACAAATAAAATACCAAAACTACGTGTGTCTTTTACAAATAGACAACCCCAAAATCTCATTCCCGGAATACTGGGAGGATACATGCCACAACACACTGAAACCGCTTACAAAGACCACTACCCCTCACCCGATAGGAGTAAATAAGCAGGGTGATCTGTTCGATATTGGGTATTTGTTATTTGATAATTGAATTATAACAGTGTTATGGTACCCTCAGCATCAAATGCACAAACCGCCGTTTAGTGAATCCTCCCCTCTCGCAATAACACAGGTTTCATTCGTATCAATTACAATCATACGAACCGCAAGCAGGGGAATTCTGTAATCTCCCGAACGGGACCCGTACGGGCACTTCACTTCACGAGCTCCAAACTCACGAATCGCCAATAGTAGCCGAACGCATATATCTCCCAAGCGGCTAATAATCCCATCCGGCAGTCTCTAGTCGTCGGTAATAAATCCCACCAATAACGAGACCAAGCTCGGCATTGAGGGTAAAACATGAACTGGCTTTACTGTGGGCTACCTGCCCGTATTTATGCAGGTCTCCCACTTGGTGGACACTTCCCTAGGGGACCAAATGGGAGACTGTAACAATAGACAGACATATGGCAGGTTAGGACCTACAGACACAGAATATTCCCAGCATGCATTATGATT